AATCACACCTGAGCAATGCATGCCACTAGTTTCTCCATACAGGAGGCGTCTTAAAGCTGTCATTGACGACAAAGGCTTTTATACAAACTGGCCATTCCACATTATTACAAATAACCTCATTCCAAGTTCATTTGGACATTTATGGTTTGATTTCTTTGTATGTATGGATCACTTGGGTTGTTACCGACATCTGGTGAAAATTTCATGTCATTAGCACCTCTAGTAATATATTTACTGAGAAAAATGGTGACATGTTCAATACTTATTTTATCCGCTGTATACCCAACCTGGTATGATTTTTTATCCTCACGCATGGGGTCTCTCGGTCTTTGAAAACTGTTTGACTGTTTTAAAATCTTACCATGTGACCCAGCCTTAAGGTAAAAACCTGCAAAACGCCAACACYGAAGGGAATAGCACACAATAAACCACAATTTTTAAAATCTTTCCYTTTTTTCCAATTGAGTAGAATTTAAATTTTGTTGCTGTAGTTTACTCTTTAGTGTTTTGCAATTGGACAAACAGGGTTGTTTTTTGTTGAGTTTGGTTAAAGTGTTTTTTTATTATTATTATTTGCTAAGAAAGGTATGTGGAGGACACTGAAACATGCTTTTATTGAAGTGCAGAAATTCTGTATTAAATGTAACAAGTTGGTTTGGGAACGCTTTAATTACCTCAGAGAAAAGAACATCATAAAATTCTGCAACATCTCTAACTGCAGTAGTGATGTTCAAAAGATTTCCTAAAACTCTGATCCGATACTGACACTTTGTGCAAATACACATGATGTGTCTGGTAATTGTAATAATTATAATAATAATAATAAAATTAAATTAAAAAAATTAAAAAAGTAGTGCCAAGAAGTATCTTGGGAGGTTTGCACGTAGAAAAATGAAACAAATTAGATTGAAATCCATTAATTAATCAGACAACAATGTGGTGAAGAGGAAACTGATGAAGAACAAAGTGCCCAAAAGAAACAGAAGTGCCTCAGTGATTTTTTTTMTTTTTTCCATCTGTTCTTGCATGTTTTCACGATGTTTCCTCAGCTCCATGTCACATTGTGTCCTGCAGAGTCCACGTCGATGCATCTCCCTGCTCTTTATTACTGCAGCCGTCGAAGCTTTTCTCTTTTTCTGAGGGAAAAGCCTCAACGGAGTGACCAAATGGTGATCGGTGCCGCAGAGCCACGTAGGGGGAAGGTGGAGGAGCAACTGTAACAAACTGAGAGGGAATATCTATCACTGGGGGTGTTACAGTACAGAGACAAGAGAGGAATCTTAATAATCATGAGAGGAGGGCAGCGCCCTTTGAGAGGAAGAAGTGGATGAGTTGTGGGATTTGGGGGAGTTTTACAACTCGGAGAAGAGGGTGATTGATGACGGAGGAAGCAGAAATGGAGGGCAGCGAGGGAGCGGCGGGGGGTTTTGGTCTCTCTGCAGAACTGCAGCTCTGAAGGCGACGTGTCTGAGGCAGGCCGGGTGAAGAGCGAACACAGTGACATCCAGAAAAGGAGAAGCCTGTGTCGCTCTCAGCAGTACAGCTAATGAGTTGGCATCAATCACTCAGAGGACCACCACACCAGTGGACCGTTATCTGCACTTTCAACACAGGATCTTACAGAAGGTCAGCTTCCTTGATCAGTGGAGGTGGAGCAGCGTACTTGCTTTAGTTGTAATTATCAGTGCGACCTGCAGCATGAGTYTGAGCTTCTGACAGCTTCAGGATTAAAAAAAATCTCATTCAAATGCAACTATATTAATTTTATAAAGAACACTGACATTCTGTTCATATTTTCCTCTGCAGATTATATAGATATCTAGCTATAGAAATAAAATAAATAAGTCATTAAAATTAATTAGATTACTTATTTCTGTTAGAGAACAAGCAACAGATCAGTGTGTAGGTTCAGTGAAGGTTGAACAAAATCACTCTTAAGGTTTGAACCAAATTGAAACTGCAAAAGTTTAAAGTGCCTGTGACATGCATCTTTAATTACCTAAAGTCAAGGAAAACATCTTTGTGTTTGGGAAACTTGGCACAATATAAATTATTTTTACCCATTCCCTCAAATAATTGGCATTTTTTATTTTAATTGGGCTCAGCCAAAGTGAAACAGGAAGTGACCTCAAAGGGGAACTCCGTGGTCTTTGTTTATTGAGACACTATTGTTCATTTCTCTCCACTAGTAACTCAAAATAATCKAAAGRAACATCAGATTCTTCCCAGTCTATTGTTAGCGGTTGTAGCAATGCCCTGTTCACATTTAGATGTTTTCCTGTGACATCACTTCCTGTTTCTTCACCTCAGAATATCTCAGCAACTGTTCATCTCAGCGGCGTGATTTTTAGTTATCAGTGTTATCTTTCAAAATTGTATTCATAATATTACAAAAACTTGATGTCACAGACACTTTAAACTAAATGCTGCAGATTTTTTTTTCTATTCATACTTTGTGGTGGGAAAATATTAGTATCAACGTGGAGTCGACAGTGAGATGAGCGCTTTAAAACTATGAAGTAACCAGAGGAAAGTTCAGCAAAAAATGTTWTTCTAATTTAGCTTTTAGAGTTAAATTAGAAAGTCCTTCTTCTAGTCCTAGCTTCTTTAAAAACAAAGTTGGCTCTGTTTTTGCAACTTCAGGGTTCTCCCCCTGCTGACTGCTGACTAAATACATATTTCAGGTCTTCAGTAAAGACTTTATTTTTCAGTAGGAGCTCCAAATCAATRCAAGCATGCAGTTTTTTTAAAAAAATCATT